ATAACTACCTCAGATTTAGATGTATGAAGTTAAAACACAAAAATGTTGTTAGAATTAAATGTCCTTTTTTTTTTTTTTTTTTTTGCTAGAGGATGCAGAAAAAGCAAGCCCAACCTTTTAAGTCAGCATAGTAGGATCTAGAAACACATCGTAGCCTCTTATCTCAGTCTTTTTTTTTTCCAGCAGCAACACTTCTTTGACGATGAGGACAGAACAGTTCCAAGCACACCAACTCTTGTAGTACCGCATCGTACAGATGGGTTTGCAGAAGCTATTCAGTAAGTTATTGTCAAAAAATAAAAATAATAATAAACTTCTGGCATTTTGTCGTTCTGTTTTCAGTGGAATGAGGGTAAGTTCACATGAAATGAACTTGCGATTGGAGTAATGTGCTAAGTAATGTAATATTTGATAGATCACTGCATCCACAAATCAGTTAAAATTGTTTGAACTGTGCATCATAAAACTTATCACCAAATTAAATGGGAGGTCATCTCCAATGTATTGTAACGTACTGACCTAAGAAGAGATTAAGCAAAAAGAATAAGATTCTTTTGTTCCTTCCCCCATATTAATATTCTAACGATTTGTAACAAAAGGATAGGTTTTGTGATACGAGTACTAGCGACCAGTTAAAGTAAAAGAAGTTCATCTCTCTTTTTGGATGTTAGGAGAGTTCTGGACACATTCAGCAATCCACTTCAAACTGAGAATTCTCAGAGAATTTAACAAAAAAATTATCTTCAGAACCATTTTACTTTTTTCTGATGCGGTCCAAATAAGTTTCAGAAACTAATTGCTGTTTAATTAGTAATAGCTTAGCTGTTTTTATAGTCCATTATTACCTCATTTTACTTGTAATTTGTTCTCTTGTTTCAGTAGTAAAGTTGTTTTCTTTTCAGGGCCTCAGAAAAATTACAGAATTATTTATGTCTTTGTTTTGGTAGTTCCCCCCAGGTAGCTGGAGTTCCTAGATTCAGGTTTGGACCCCCTGAGGATATGCCACAAACTAGTTCCAGCCACTCTGACCTTGGTCAGCTTGCATCACAAGGAGGTAAACATGTTCTACGCTCTCTTTTCCGTGATTGTTAGAGTAGCAACCAAAAATTTTGTCAAGAGGAGGTAACTCAATTTTGGGCCTTGTTGCAGTGTGTAAATCGACTTAACTAACTGCTGTGACTACTGAATTAGTTGTCAGTACACACAGAGAGAGAGAGAGAGAGAGAGAGAGAGAAAGAGAGAGAGAGAGACTAATGGAAAGTGAAAAGGTTTTTCCTTCACGCTGCTAGTCTTCCATTTGTAATATGGTTTAAAATGTAGAAGGCCTCTGTTGATGTAAATAAAAGGCTTGTGAACTGGAGAAGTGTAGGTAGCTGAAACTTTATACAGGGCAAGTTTCCTGCTGGGTAGCAAGAAGTTCATTCAAGCAGAATTAGAATATCGAAGGAATAGCTGTTCACTTCAGTTTTCATGTTGATTATAGCTTTTTCCGTAGTAAAGTAATAGGGGAAAACAGCAGATGCAAATACATCTCTGGGGTGAAGACTGACCTGCTGAGAAAGGGCTAGGCAATATGTCTGTGTTGTCTTTGCTGTTGTCCTGAATCATACCCTTTCCCTTGCATCTCTGTCTGCTGGAAAAAGTTGGTTATTCTTTGAGGAAAGCTCACAGCACAATAGTGGGGTAAGAAAAAGACTAAAAATAAAATGAGAAGTGGGATTTTCGTCAAGGGTTTACCTTAAAACAAATTATAATTAGCTATGGCAGAAAGTTAAAAGCTATTAAAATAACTAAAATCTCTCTATTTAAGTACAAAGCACTGGATTGCATCAAGTGTATGGAAAGAAGACTACAGGTAGTCTGCTTTTAGCTGGCTATTTTAATTGTAATTAAAACCTTGTGTATTGCAGGTTTAGGAATGTACGAAACCCCACTCTTCCTTGCTCATGAGGAAGAATCAGGTGGTCGTAGTGTTCCAACAACACCATTGCAAGTAGCAGCACCAGGTGAGTGAAAGGACGTTTGCAGGGTGATGTAAAGATTAGAAGCCTTGATTTTGCAGAAAATAATTAAAATCATTATTACACTGCTTATTGATACAGCAAGACTATTCCTATTGCCCTTTCCCTGATGTGCCTGAGATTTCCATAAATTTTCTTTAGGAAGTATAAAATAACTCCATATTTATTAACTATCTTGCCTGTACAGTGACAGTTTTTACTGAAAGTACATCAGCTGATGCTTCAGAGCATGCTTCTCAGTCTGTTCCAATGGTTACGACATCTACTGGCAATCTGTCCACAACTACAGAGGCTGGAGCAGGTGATGATGGAGATGAAGTTTTTGCAGAGGCAGAATCTGAAGGGTAAACTGCAACTTGATTGGTTGACTAAGACTTACTATCATGTTAGTTTTAATTGTAGTGGTTTTTCATCCACGTATGCCTGTAGTCCATCAAGTTTTAATTTAACCTGTTCTGGAAGGAAGGATGGCTCAACCAGAGTTTAGTAATCTTATTAAGTGGAAAAATCTTTGTTTTTAGAAGAAAATGTCAAAAGTTTTCTTCTGAAAAGTTAATATAGCTAATGGAAAAGTCACCTAAACTTTTTCCTTGTTTCTCTCTCTTTTATTTATTTAGTTAGTTAGTTAGTTATTTTTAACTATTTGTTCAAACTGTAAAAGACTGTAATAGTCAAGTGCTGAGGACACAGACCCCAATTTGTGGGACGGGTGTTTGTAGAAAAAAGGCTAAAGCATTCCTATTTGTGAATTGAGAAAAATCGCTCCTTATTATAAAGCAAGCATATACGCTTACATCATTGAGTTAAGGCAATGCAAGTACGAAAACGTAACAGTTTTTCCCACAACTTGGTATCTGTTTTAGTTATCATCTTCATAGATATTTATCACTTGGATAGATATCTTTCTGCACTAAAAAAGATACTTGTTTTGTGGGCTTTTTTGACACTGTGTGAGTACGCTTAGATATCTATTTTATTTTTTTCTCTTATAGAATTACTTCAGAAGCCGGCCTAGAAATTGATAGCCAACAAGAAGAAGAATCAGTTCAAGCGTCTGACGAGTCAGATCTTCCTTCTACTAGTCAAGATCCTCCTTCTAGTTCATCTGCAGGTACTGGTTAATTGCTGAAAGAGGTTGTTTCTTACCGTTTGATTAAGTGTGGGAATTTCTGAACCAGTATCATGCACTGTTTATGGCCAAGATCTACAAAATAAGGTAGCAAATCTTACTTAGGGCAAGAACACATTTAGTTGCCTTTAGTCTTAATGGCGAGTCACTTTTACTTGGACAGCAGTAACTGGAGTATAGGCTGTAGTAAGAATAATGCTTCCAGGAGCAAAAGTTACTTGATGCATTCAGTTCACTGTTATTTTTGATGTCAAATTTAAAAATACTTTTTCATTTAATTTTTCATTTAAGTTGTCAAAGAACAGTAAGTAAATCACTGTTCAGTTACTGATTTACCATTAAGCACAGATATGAAAGAAATGCCAAACTTACTCATTCTGAGGGTTTTATTTATTGTCAGGTGTCAATGAACTATGATGTACATCGTAACTTTAAAGTAAATTCAAGAGTACAGATATGTATCAAATCATGTAAACATCAACAGGGGGAAAGTGTACCAGACATAGACATTCTCTCCTATATTTCCACTTCTTCATAGACACAAGCAGTAATCAGCCTAAGCCATTTCGACGTGTCAGACTTCAGCCACCGACATTAAGAACTGGTGTTCGTGGCCGTCAGTTCAACAGACAGAGGGGTAAGCGTTTGCCATTGTTCAGATTTTTTTCTTTCAAATCAATTTTTAATATTTTCTTCCTTTGGTGTCCATATATGCAGAATGGCTTTAAGTGTTTGTGATAACTTGTAAGACTTTGAATAATACAGCGTCCCTGCCCTAGCTTTCAATATGTTACCGTAAGAATTTGGTAGGATTCATCTTGGTATGTTAGCCTGAGCACTTTTTTGACTTTTTTAGTCAGACTTTCTTCTTATGCGGCACTTGGCTCTTACCAACTATAAGAGGGAGAATAGCAGTAGATCTTAAACTTAACCAAAACAAAACAAAAAAAAACTTAAAATAGTGTTAGGACATAACTTTAGAACTCTTGCTTTGTAAGATTAGAGGTCCGTTTCCCATCTGATACTACCTAAGGGTTCCGGTCATTATACTACTAAGTCTTATACTCATTTAAAAAAAAAAACACACACACAAATTTTTTTTTTATAGCAATATAGAGTTAAAGCAGGAAAAAAAATTTTGTTTAACTTCTGTTTTAAGAAAAATCCTCAGATTAAATGTATTCAATTTGGCATTATTTTAACACTGTAGAAAACTTGATACTAGCATTGAAATATATGAATCTAGTATTTCTTTAAAAAAGAAATGAAGAGGAAGAGCTAGGATATATATCCTTTATAGTCTATCACTATTTCTTTATTAAGCAAAAGGAGGGACTAATTGCTTTCACTTATGATCAGGAATGCTGCGCTTTTCTTTTGGCACATGGCCTGAGACATTTAAGGATCACAAGTCAACAGCGTTCTCTTAGATGGCAAAACAATGATGTACCCATACCACAGGGCTAAGGGGAGGACGAGAAGCTGAATTTTACCAGAAAGGAAGTGTTCCTTTACTTTAGTACTTTCTTAGAGAAAAATAAAGTAGCACATATACCAGTGTTTGATTAAAAGGTGAAAAGGACTTCTCTTAATTCATTTATTTTCTTTCCCAACACAGGTGTCACTCATGCAATGGGAGGCAGAGGAGGCCTGAACAGAGGCAATATTAGTTAAATGATCTGTAAAGTCATTACAGCTGTGTATAAAAAGTGCCAGTTTGCCTGTGGTTGCTTTAGTGTAATGAAGGCAGAGCTTAAAGCAGCGTTTTATACTTAGATTTGTGTGCACACAATTCAATGTCTTTATTAATAAAATTAGACAAACTGTCAACATTCAAATGGCATCTTTTTTAAAAAAAAAAACCTGTGGTGTGCATCACTTCGGACAGTTGTACCAGTCCTTGGATACCGTCTTTCCAGTGAGATAAGTAACAGACCTTGCTATTTTGCTGCCCACATCCAAACTGTAGTACTGATCTGAAATGAAGAAATGTGGGAATTAAATTCCAGAAACTACATTTAGTACATGAAAAGACTTCTGTATCTTGAAATTAAAGCCTTCCCTTTAATTTCATTTTGGCATGACTAGTGGATTATCATTCCTCATATTTGGAGTTGAGAGGCTCTAAATATCAATTTTAGTCTAGCATTTGATTTTTGAGATGTACTACCTTGTGTTTAGCAAAGATTTTCAGTACTGTTAATAATTAAATGTTGCCCAAGAACAGAGACCTTCAAGAACAGGGAGTAGGAAAGAATACCCTTATACTGTTAGAACACAGTAGTAGCTTGTAGAAGTTAAAATTCAAACAAGCTAGAAATAAAACAATTCTGAATTGACTGTAAGAGTGGGACTTCTGTGGTCCCCAAGTGTGAATTAGCCTATCTTTTTTAAGGTTAGGAATTATATAATACTGGAAAAGACATACTTCAGTATGATATGGCTAGTTGGGTTTTTTTTTCTTTTTTTTTGAATAATGAAAATTCTGAGGAATGCCTGTACATGATAATGGGAAAGGGAAAGGATCTGCTCAGTCTGTATCCAGACATTATTTTTCCCTCTGAAGTTAAAAGGTTCATGTTCCTCCTAATTTTTTGCCAGAAACATAGTTGCATTGAAGCCCCTGGCAAAGCTATGAGTGTAATGGTCCAATGATCTATCATTAATATAATTCTACTT